TATATTCAGGGAGTTGGAGATGAACTCCACAAAGATTGAGAGGCCTGCCATCTCAATAAATTGTCTAGGATCTAGTGCTTTATTTTTACTTCCTACCATAAGATAGCAGCACAACTCTTTGTGGATCTTTTTTAGTTTTCAAGGTAACGTATACCACATTTGAGTTTGCTTCTCTGATTCATTTGCCAAGTAACCCTAATGCCGCCAGTGTTAAGTGGGGCCCAGCTGCTGGTCTGGACTGTAGTGTAGGCAGTGGTGTCATTTTCTCCTTAGGATCTAGCAGATTCAGGTGCTGAGAGAGTCTGTGGCCTGTATGGCTATGGCCTATCTGGATCCTTGCTGAAACCTGTGGAATGCCTCAGGAGGAAAATTATAGCTTGTACCTCCAGGGTTTTAAAGTAAAGACATGGATGCGTTTGCAGAAAACTGTTCTACTTTTGGAAAACAGCTCTTGAATTTCTATTGCGCAAAGGCTACTGTTTCTGCTAGATGGTCAAAATCTTGAAAAGAATAAGATTTGGAGATTAGTGATGAGTTCTGGGGAAGAGGTATTTGGATGGACTTCTCAGAATAAGATAAAGGAAAGAGATATTTGTGTCCCATGTGACTGCTCACCAAAGGGCACTCAGTGCAGAGGAGGTTGGCAGTGATTAGACGGATAAGATGATCTGCTCTATGGATATCAATCAGTTTCTTTCCCCGGCCACTCTATTGTCAGTGGGTTCCTAAACAAAGTGCCCAGGTGGCAAGGATGGAGGCTGTGCATGGACTCAGCAACATGAACCTCCTCTTATCAAGGTTAATCTGGCTATTGTCACAGGGGAGACTAAAGCTGAGCCCCCAGTGAGGTGCCATGCTCCAGGGGGTCCATCAGTAACTTGGTGGCAGGTCACTAACACTGGACTCTTCACCATGGAGGAATTTACATTTTATGTAATTTACATTTTATGTAAATTGACTGGATGCTTTATTTTCCATCATTGTATTCCATACAAGATTGCTTCAGATTATTTTGCTATAATAACTAAATTTATTTGTTAAACAAATAGACATACCTAAATGAGGTAATGAGCACAAAATTTCCTGCTCTTGGTATACACTCCATTGTCTAGAAACAGTTATCCTTGGAGAACGAGGGAATGGCTTATTGGGGATGCTTATTCCCATATCAGCTAAGAGACAAACTTCACAAGGTCGGAGTGCAGTCTTACAGGACATGATAGATGCTCTCAATCAGTGACCAGTATGTGGTCCTGTTTCTTCTATAGATAGAACCAAAGGATAGAACTGGGAGTAGTATTTCTTAGAATCACACATCATCACCAACAAGAAATAATGTTGCTTCCTCTCCACGACTTTAGGTTCTACTAGTTTAGAGATCTTGGTAGTCACAGAATGAATGCTTTCACCTGAAGAACAACAATGACTCCAATGAATGAGAAATTAGGATTGCTTCCAGGCTCTTTGGGGCTCCTAATGCCACTGGACAAAAAAGGCATCACTATATTGGCTCAGGTGATTAATCCTGTTCATCAAGGAGAAACAGAGTTGCTGGTTCGTAATAGAATTAGGGAGGAGTATTTCTCGAACCCAGGAAATCCCTTCAAGTGCCTTCTACTACTGGCACATCCAATGGCGAGAGTTAATGAAAGACTAAGGCATCTCCTACCTGCAAGACCAGGAAGTGCTCATGCCCTGCAGGAGCTGGAAGAGGTTTGGATCGTATCACCAGGTATAGAATCTTGATGAGTTGAGGTGCTGGCTGAGGACAAAGAGAAGATGAAATGGGGAGTAGAATGAGAAAGTAATAAATACAACTACTACCATGTGACCCACAGCAGAATCCAGGACTAGGGTAGCTGCCCATATTTTCTTCCTTACTCGGTTATGAATACATTTATATGTAAGCCAATATTTCCCCTCTCCCTTTCTCCTACTATTTTATAGGACTGCACTCTGGTACCAATTAACTTTATACTTCTGGTGCATAGGTCACAAAAATGAATTGGGATTGAGTCAAGGTAAAAAATATCACCCAGAGGTTTATGGTGACTGCTGGGACTTGGCAGGAGTGGGGTGGAGGTGAAGGCAGAGAATAAGCACATTTTGACTTGTGTGAGGGAGGGTTGCTTTGTGTTAGGTAGGGGTGTGCTGTGCTACTACTGTCACTCGAAAGTTTAAGTGTGGGAAGAAGGATGTGTTTAGATGAGAACAGCCAGAAGGTCAGACTGAGAAGGATGCTGTGGATTGGTTTGCTCAACACCCATTTTAACTCCCTTATGCTAGACGGACTTGCCTTTGTGTACTGTAGAGGTTAGAAAGATAAAAACTGCCTTTGCAACTAGAGTGCTGAATGTAGCGTAGGCTCTGTCTAGTAGGCCTACCTGCAAGAGTCTTGGAAGGAAGATGTGAGCAAGGTGAGGCAGCCTCCATGCGTATGGAGACCAGCTCTTCCTGTAGGCACAGCGCTGGATGCATATGCGGGAGGTCCTAGCGTCTGGTCCAAGGCATCATTGCATCCTAGGTGCTGAGTGGCGGGGAGCAGAAGAAGTGAGATTTCCACCAGAACAGTCTGGGGGTTTTGTTTTTAAATCTGGCTGCTCTTGTTCCTGGCTATATAGAATTGAACCTTGCCCTGTGGTTTTGCTAGATATTCTGTGAGCTACCTATGGCCTCTGCTGAGTCCCCTTCTTCTTAAACAAACTAGAATACATTCTGTGGTCTGAAGCCCAGAGCCTTGTTTAATACAATGGGCATTCTATACCCTTTGGATGCGTGGATGAATGAATAGCCTATTGAAAATTGAGGGGCAGCTTACCTCCACACTAAATGGCCCCAAACTGCAGTAATTTTAGTTTGTATTTCTTCTTTTCTATTTCTTCCTTTACCATAAGTTTCTCGTCTTTATTCTCTGCTTGCACTCTTCTGCCTCAGAGAGTCTCAACCACCCTAATTTGCTGTGGCTGAACTGCTGAGAGCTAAAAGCTGCGCCCTAAACTAAAACAAATTCTAAGGAAAGGAAGAATGACTGGGCCACGAGTGAAGGCCTTTCCTACAGAATAAAGTGCACGCATTTCTGCACATTGGTTCCGGACCGCTGTTTTAGCCATTTGGGTGACTTTTTTCCTCTTTGTCAATATGTGCTTATGTTTCTAGAGGTTCAGGTCCCCCCAACCTGACACCTTTCTAATTAGAGCAGAGCCGGATTCAGTGTTCTGGAATCTCAGGGATTTTGCCATGCCTGTCTGCTCCTCCATTTTAAGTGGTAAAATTGCCCCCTAAAAAGAAATTTTAAATGGGGACAATGGTTCCCACCATTACTGACCTTGGAGGGGCCCATCAGCTTTTTGCCTTTCTTTGCCTCCTTGTAAGAGAGGTCCTTGTGGGCTCCCACACAGGGCCATGTCTGAGAGGGTTGTGAGCACCCTCACAGAGCCCAGGCCAGTGGTTTAAAGAACGGTGGGCTCCTTCTTGATCCTCCACCATGCCTATCTCTTCCCACTTCTGAATTTCCACATATGATGACCGTCGAATGGAACTGATGAAAGGGGAAATCAGGTCGGCGATGAACTTCCCTGAGCACACAGTTGGCACAGGAAGGATGGATCCAGGACGTGTCCATCATGGAGGCCATGTGGAACCCTTCCTAAAGCATATTTTGTATTTCCGGAGTTACCACTGTGTAACCCCAAATATCCAAGCACCTCTACATGTTCCTGTTCTTGCATATACCAAAAAGCCATGGCTATCGCCGAGGTCAGTGATACTAAATAAATATAACTCCTGAAACTTTAACTTCAGGAAGGATTTGGAGGCATGGTAGGGAAGGGGTCAGAAAATCTCCAGATTAACAATTTTTAGTAGCAGGAGACTCGTGAGAGTAATTGCCATAAATAATGGTGCCAATTGAAAAAGTCATGTTAGGGAATCTTGGGTGAATGGAAGCTGAATTGTGGCAGCCTTGAACTTGGAGGGAGGACAAATGGCCTTGTGCAGATATTGGGCCAGAGGGGTCTTGTCTGTCCTTAACCTCATGGCCCTAGGTTAAAGCTCCTGGACTGCAGAAGAATGTCTCAGAGAAGGCTATTCCTGGAGAACAGCTCGCTTTGCCACGTGCCAGGCGGGCTCGGGGAGTAGACCGAATCTTGTGGGCCATTCTGGTGCATGGTGTGATGTCATGCGTGCAAAGGACTCTGAGCAAAACTTGTGGACGAAACCCTTGCACCAGGAATGGGTGGATTGTAGATGTGCTGGCTGGTGGTCTCCGAGGGCTGCTTGTTCATTTTGATGCAGTTCACTAGTGAGTAGCTTGCAGCGAACTAAGCTGTCAGCTGTACAAGCCCAGGAGAGAGATGGCTTAAGCGAGGATTTAAAATGAATGTAGGGACTGGGCCTGTGGCGTAGTGGTTAAGTTTGGCACGCTCCACTTTGGCAGCCCGGGTTCAAGGATTTGGATCCTCGGTGCAGACTTACACCACTTGTCAGCCATGCTGTGGCAGCAACCCACATACAAAATAGAGGAAGACTGGCAACAAATGTTAGCTCAGGGTGAATCTTACTCAGCAACAAAAAAAAAAGAAAAGAATGCAACCTTAGCAGGAGTGTAGCAACGTTCCCACTCAGAAGCTACTGCAGCACTGGGTAGAATATTGGTTGACCACAGCATTATCAGCCTCTGTTATGTGACTAACCGGAAATTAACTATATAATGTGGTACATGTATTTATAACTATGTTGCATTTTGCACCTTAAATGAGATCAGGACTTGGTTTATTCCATTAATCAAATATTGCTTTGTCCTTTAGATGCTTGTGCACTTGTCTCTCTCCAGGAGGAAGTTTCTGGAGGCAGGAGCTGTGTCTGGGACATTGTCACACACATGTAGCGTTTCCTCCAGGGTCTCAGAGGCAGCAGGAGCTGGATAGTGATTTTGTGCGTGAGTGAGAAACTTTTACTTAACCCGTGTGTGACGTAACCCACCTCTGACTTTTCCCCTGTAGTTGTGCATGGCTGACAAACTGTGGGAGCAGATAGTTCAGTCTGCGTGTGACAACGTCACCCCCGAAATGAGGGCCCTGGCCGCGGACATGGGCTGGAGGCAGATGTTCTTCACCAACAAACTGCAGCTCCAGCGGCGGCTCCGCAAGAGGAGAGAGAGACAAGAAAGCCAGAGAGACAGTCAGCTGTAGGGACACGTTTTCCTACCTGCAGCGACGTTGAGGCAAGGCTGGGTTTTTCTTCTGTGTCCAAATCCCTTCTGTTTCCTTTGATTAAGAACTAAGAGGTTTTGCTGCTTCAAGGAGCCATCTGAAGAGCGTGGAGTATTTGCACACTAATGCAGTGCCTAGCCTGAACTACAGTCCCAAACTTGTGAGGGTCAGATCGTGGCCCCAGCACAAGGGCTGCAGGACAGGTAGCCCCACAGTCCCCATCTTCCCATCCCCTGACACCCACAAGACAAGAGGCTTCTGCTGTATAGAAACAAACAATAAATGATTATTAGCAGGCTTTTATTACATCTAGGCATCAGAAAGGATAAACCGGGCTTTTGAATTTTTCCTGGTGTTGTATCATCTGAGTGCATCCATGGAGTAGGTGGCTGTCTGTCCCCACAGGGGACTGTGAGGGACAGGAGCCGCGGGGGGCACTCCCAGTGACGGCAGCTGTCTTCCCAACTCTGTCCTGCTAAGTTTATAGTGAGCCTAGGATGCCAGGCTCCACCCCCCAGGGAGACACCCCCTGACCCGGCCCTGGGGTGTGGCTGGAGAGAAGTCCAGGCATCCTGCTTGCAGACCTCGTCCAGAGTCCAGCTTCCCAGGAATTCACATTGTCCAACAAACCTATGAACATTTTTTAGATGGATGCTGCTTCCCCAAAGGAATGTGGACAGCTACCACTTTTATAACGGGGATTTTTAAGAACACAGGCTGTGGGTAACTGACTGAAAACCTAAATAAACTTCTGGATTCTGTTAACTTGGCAGAAGGGTAAAAACGTACAGCTTTAGGGGAGGAAATTCTACCTCCCTGAGACGGGTTATTTAAAAATTGTTTTCTTCCTGCAGTCTCATGGCGATTAAGTACCCCCAGACAGTGAACTCATAGCAGCAAATAATCTAATGACTCCTTTTAGGCTGCAGAGCAAAGTAGCTTTCAACCGCCCATTGTTGTATTAACCTTATCCTTTCTTTTCCCCTGCAGCCTCTACTTTGCTATCTAGAAAAAATAGCATATACTCCCTCTCCCTTCCCATGCCAGAGAAATTCCCTGTGATGCAACAGGACCTCCAGAATGGTACAGAAGAGGTGTACTCTGGCTGTTTTCCCGACCTAAGTCCTTCTGGAATGGCTTCATAGCCATGGCTTAGTGACAATTTTTTTCTTTTTTACTAAACCTGTGTTAATATGAAATCGGATTTTAACCCCCATGCACACAACCTTAATAGTGTCATAGAGTTCCAGAGACATCTGTGACATTAAGCACAGTCTACTTCCTGGCACATGAGGAGGCTGTCAAAGATGTGTCTGGATTTAGTTCAAGCACAGAGCAAAGATTTAATTGGGAGAGACCCAGGCGTCCTTCCCTTCCCAGAAGAGATCCTGCCAGGGATCTGGCAGGCCGTGCGGGGTGACTGGCAGGCTGGCAGAGGGCATGTGCATCTCTGCATGGCTCCTGCTGCCTTGTTTCTCCCTGAAATTCCAGACTTCACTCCCGGCCAGGTTTTCAGTGACAGAACATAGGTAAATACCATGTGTGCGCAACAACTGTGTGTATGCACAATTTGGTATGTCAACGTAACTGCGTAAATATAAAATTACAACTCATTTGTAACATCCATGAAAATGTCAACAGCTTAAAAATTTCATGTGTCATGTTTTATCAACTAACTGAGATTCTGAAAGCTTATGGGTATGCCTAATACTCTAGATTTAACATGAATCAGCAAGAATGCAAAAATAGCCATTTGAAAATTCTTAACTTATCTATATAAAATATTATAAAAATAGATGCTGAAGGCAAATGACAATTAACAATGAGTTATTAATATGTTGACTATTGTTAAATAATAGTTAAAATAACATTATTTCAGTAATTATTTGCCCTAATAATTTGGGTGCCTTATTACTTAATTATAATTATTTTTGCCAAACTATGAACAATATCATCAACCGAAAATCTTGCATAGCACCAGCATCCTTGGCGGTGGAAATATTTTGCCCCTCTCTGCCTGGCTTCATTTCCCATGTTAGATCCCACATGACGATCCCATCGGATGGGAGCAGGCAGGATGGTCTTGCCTCTCTGCCTCTATTGACAACTTTCGTGTGAATGGATAAATCTCATTTATTTATGACATACCATTTCAGAGGGAGATGCCACAGCATTTTATAGTCTTGCCTTTCCTCATCTTTTCAGTCAACTGTTTCTACTCTATCATTTACCATTGTAATTGTAAAAGTAGAATACTGATCTTTTCTGATGGTTTATATGTTTAGTGTTATAGAACAATTTATTAACAATAGCAAATGTGAATATTTAATTTATAAACTGAAAAAATAAATAGATTTTGCTTCATGTTAACTTCTATTACTGCTTTTTTCCTGAACAGGTTGGCATAGGACACGCATTAAACCTCAGTTATATGGAATCCAGAGTGTTTTATTTTACTGAGAAGGCCCAAGAATTTAGCTGAGATTATGGTGGGGGAGGGGGAAGCAGGGGCAGGGACAACTCACTGGTCACCACTTGTCATTGTTTTCCGAGCTGCTTATGTACAAGACGGTCATCAGCCACCATTGATTACCTCAGACTGACTCCCAAGATGCCAAAGAAGAAGGTACAACAAACTTACTAAAAAATAGAAAACATTTGTGCAGCATAGCATTTTGCTCTGAGCTTCAGTGTAATGAGGTTTAACTTTAGTTTATGTTAAGATAATATACTGTGAGAGAGTATCCAAGCTTCTCAACTCTGAACAGTTGGTTTCAACTTGAAATGAACGTCTTTGATTGGATGTTAAAACGTTAAGTAGAGAAGGTACCACCACACTAAAGAAAATGTGCACCCACAGTTAAAGGTGTAACAATGTGTATTAGGTCTTTTAACAAAGTAAAATTAATATCTTAGCTTTACCTATATATTGCTTTGAAATGAGATCCTCCGAACACTGGGACAGCATGAGTTTGCCCTTGCAGCATGGAACCCTCAGGAGCTACAGAGGACTTCCTGTTTCCTGCTTATCATGTTCCCTCGAACATGGATCTCCATTCAGAAAAGTTCTTTTCAGTTGGGAAATCTGTTCTGCCCACCCAGAAAGTCTTAGAGCCATAGATCCACGGTCACAGAATGAATTGGAATAACCTTAGAAATAATAATAATAATAGCAGTTTCCATTTATTGAGTGTCTACTGTGTACCAAGAAATAAACAGCTAGTAACTAATTTAATCTTTACAGCAACCCTTGAAAGTAAGTGATGTTATTTCTGTCTTAGAGATCAGGGGTCTATAAACTATGGCATAGGTCTAATATGAGTAGCTGCCTATTTCTGTATATAGTTTTATTGAACCATAATTTATGTATTATCTATGGCCACTTTCACCCAATGACAGAGTTAGATAGTCACGATATAGACTGTATGGCCTGCAAAGCCTAAATTATTTTCAGAGAAGACAAGTTAATTTTCCCGAGGTTTCATAACCAATCAGTGGTAAAGCTGAGATTCAAGTCTATACTTACTAAGTCTGTGTTCTTAACCACAAACGCCATACCACCTCTCCTTTCAGAGCCAGCTCCACGTTTGACCCTCAGAACTTAAAAAGTTGGTGGGATTTGCCCAGGGTCACATTTGATATTATAAGGGAGTCGGCTTTGAGCATAATATAAGAGACCATTCTAATTTAGTTGTCCGGAGAATATTCCGAGCTCTTGATGGACTAAATTATTGCTCATTTTTCTATAAACAGGTATTTTAAGTTCATTTAAGTAATAATAAGTAAGGAGTAAATTCTTCTTCAAGACCCTCACACACTCTTATGGAAAACCAAGTAAAGGATTGAGTAAAGGAGTTGAATATGCTGCTCTGTACTTTCTTAAACTCAGTCCTCCCTTCTTCCTGCCACTTTCCTCCACTTGGGAACCAGTCCCTCCCAGGGAACTCTTACCTCTTGCTACTTCACCTGATAATGGAAGAGGTTCCCCAGAGCCATTCTGAGACCCTCAACCCAACCTTCCCTGCTTTGCATTGTTGGAGATCCACACAGTTCATCTGTAGCACCTTTCATGCATTGTCTTAAATCTCTGCTCTCTGCCATGGCTCAGTTTCCCTCTCCTAGATGTCAAAGGCCGCTGCTTCTCAGTCTCTGCACTTCAACAGCAGTATTCCCTCCCCACCTCACTGTTCTCTGAACATTCTGACCTTGGAGACCTCCAGTCCACATAAGCCACACTCCATTCATTATTATATTTAAGGATGGATCATTAGCTTTAAAAAGGGAGATTAGAAATCTTGTCTTTTTAGCCCACAGCTGCACCATCTAAGCCCAAAGATGCTGCAAAAGATGAAACTGATATCTACTAAAAAAGGTGTAAATCTGAAACAAAGTGTGACTCAAAAGGTACCTTTTCCTTGGCTTTACGATGTTAAAATTTTACCTTTCTGGTACCTCTTAAGTTGTGGCATCGTTTTGAGAGTCATCATTCAGAGCTTAAAGGAAAAGGAATGGAATATTTTAAATGTAGATGTGATGAGTTCATTAAAAGCCAAAAATCGATCATTACAGCTTTTCAAACCAGAAATGCAACAGCCATTGAAGTACGCCGCAGGGTAAGTGACTGTACTGAATTGCCTGGAGAAAGGCACACCAGCCGGTACAGCTGACACTGCTGAATGTCTGCTGGATGGAGAGTCAGCAGAAGAAATCACAGCAGTGCCACTTTCTAATAATACAGGAGCTTGTCAGATTAAAGATTTAGCTGCAAACACGAAGGCTGAGTTAATATCTTCTCTGCAGAACTGTACTTTTGTCTTACAAATGGACAAATCAATAGATGTGGCTGGACTTGCTGTGCTGCCTGTATTCACCCAGTATCACACCAACTAGTCAAAGCTCTTTTATGTGACAGCTTGGAAGCACACACAAGCAGTGCTGGAACATTCAAAATACTGAATAACTTTATTGACTCTCATGCGTGATCCTGGAGCAACTGCGTTGATGTTTGCACTGATGGTGCAAAAGCAATGGTGCGTAAAACAGCTGGTGCCCCGGCAGGAGCCAAAGCAGTGACACCAAAAGTTACCGGAAGTCATTGTATTTTTCACCGCCATGTGCTTGCAGTCAAATAATGGCCAGATTCACTTAAGGATATCCTTGACGAAACAGTAAAAATGATCACCTATTATTAAGTCTTTACCCTTGACTCCGCATCTTTTTAATATTCTGTGTGACAAAATGAGAGGTATGCACAAAGCACATTGCTGCAAATCGAAGTCCGACGTTTGTCTGGAGGAGAAGCACTTGGGTAACTGAGTTGCAAACTGAACTACTGCTTTTTTTTTGCGAAATACTGTGTTTATGTTTGGCAGACACATTATTGAAAATGAGGCTGCCACTTCAAGGAAAATAACTGTGGTATTTGTTGCCAATGATAATATTTAAGCTTTCAAGAGGAAATGAGAAGTTTGGAAAATTTACATCAACCTCCATGAGCTTGTTTGTCCACTTCCCAATTGAGATATTCAATTGAGAAATTCATGCTTTTTTTTTTTTTTTGTGAGGAAGATCAGCCCTGAGCTAACATCCATGCTAATCCTCCTCTTTTTTGCTGAGGAAGATCGGCTCTGAGCTAACATCTATTGCTGATCCTCCTCCTTTTTTTTTCCCCAAAGCCCCAGTAGATAGTTGTATGTCACAGTTGCACATCCTTCTAGTTGCTGTATGTGGGACGCCGCCTCAGCATGGCCGGAGAAGCCATGCGTCAGTGCACGCCCGGGATCTGAACCCGGGCCGCCAGTAGCGTAGCGCGCACTTAACCGCTAAGCCACGGGGCCGGCCCCGAGAAATTCACACTTTTAAAGTATATAATTCAGTGGTTTTTATATATTTACAAATTTATGCAACCATCACCATTATCTAGTTCCAGAATATTTTTGTCACCCCAAAAATATACCCTATGCCCATTAGCAGTCACACTCCATTCCTCTCTCCTCCCAGGCTCTGGCAGCCACTAATATACTTTCTATCTCTATGGATTTGCCTATTCTGTACATTTCATATAAATGGTATCACACAATAATCATGTGATTTTTAAAAAATATTGTATGAGGGGCCTGCCCAGTGGTGTAGCGGTTAAGCTCATGTGCTCCGCTTCAGCAGCTCGGGGTTTGCAGGTTCAGATCCCTGGCATGGACATACGCACCGCTTATCAAGCCATGCTGTGGCTGCATCCCATATAAAGTAGAGGAAGATGGGCACGATGTTAGCTTAGGGCCAATCTTCCTTAGGAAAAAAGAAGAGAATTGGCAACAGATGTTAGCTTAGGGCTAATCTTCCTCAAAAAAACAAAAAAAATATTGTATGAAATATCAAAACAGGGCTGGCCCCATGTCTTAGCAGTTAAGTGCGCGCGTTCCGCTACTGGCGGCCCGGGTTCAGATCCCGGGCACGCGCTGACGCACCGCTTCTCCGGCCATGCTGAGGCCGTGTCCAACATACAGCAACTAGAAGGATGTGCAACTATGACATACAACTATCTACTGGGGCTTTGGGTAAAAAGGAGGAGGATCGGCAATAGATGTTAGCTCAGAGCCAGTCTTCCTCAGCGAAAAGAGGAGGATTAGCAGGGATGTTAGCTCAGGGCTGATCGTCCTCACACACACACACAAAAAAAGACAAAAAAAAAAAAAAAAAAGAAATATCAAAACAAAAACATCCACAATTATCTGAAAAGACTATTAAAATACTCCTCTCCTTTCCAACTACATATAGGTATAAGGCTAAATTTTCTTCATATGTGTCAATTAAAACCACATATCACAACAGACTGAATGCAGAAGGAAATATGAAAATTTAGCTGTTTTCTATTAAGCCAGATATTAAAAAGTTTGTAAAATGTAAAACAATGCCATTATTCTTACTAAAATTTTTTTTGGAAAATATGGTTACTTTTCATAAAAATGTGTTATAAACACAGTAGGCTCATTATTGTTCTTTTAAAATGAATACATAAGTATTTAAAAATTTCTTAGTTTTGCTTTCTATTACAGTAAATATCAATAAGATATAGCCTACAAAACAAAATATCTTTGGGTCTTCACTGGTTTTTAGGAGTATAAAGGGGACCTGAGACCCAAGAGTTTGAGAACCGTAAATCTAGCACTTGTAGTCTGTATCTTTCATCTGAGAAGTAGACACATCTGTGACAGTTCTTCAGTCATTTCATTGAACCTCTCTGTATCTTTTATATTATCAATTACAGTTTCATTTAAACAGGTTACGACTCAAATCTCCCTTAGCTTTGTTATCACCTTGCCTCTTATAGTGCCCTGCAACAGCAGCTGACTTCTACATGTAGGCTACTGGAGGGCAGGCACTTTGCATAGCCTGCCTTGTTCTTAGAGAAACCCAGTTTACATCTATTGATCGGAGAAGGACCATGCAAGCAGAAAGACTTAGCAGAATAAAAATATTATACCCTATGAGTACTCCATAGATAGTAATTGACCAGAACGTTGTATAAAAGGAAATAATCAATGCGAGAGAGGCAGGACAAGTATTTGAAATTGATTGGAATGTTTTACTCTTAAAAATGTTGAGAGTGGGTTTCCAATTTCAGTGTGCATAAGAATCAACTGACAAGCATATCTAACAGGCAGATTTCTTGGCCCCATCACCCAAGATTCCAACTTAGTAGGTTTTAAGTAGCCCCAGGAATCTGCATGTAAAATAATTTTGTATGCAAGTTTTAAATGGAAAAAGCATTATGTGCATAAGGAAAAAAGTCAGACCCACCCAGTCCCCAGACTTTCCTCCTAGAGCCAACTACTGTTAATGTTTTCTTGTGTTTCCTTCCAGAAATGTTCTAGACATATACAAGCCATATGAATAACCTTTTCTTGTTGTTCACAAAAACATAATTGGGAGCACATTCAACATATTTTATCTTGCTTTTTTCTTTTAGCAATATATCTTGGATACTATTTTCTAATTTTAAGTATGGATCTGTCTTTTTAAAAAAATAGTTGCATCAATACCACACTTTATTTAACAGTTCCCTATTGATGGGCATTTAAATTGTTTCCAGTCTTTTATATAACAAACAAATCAGATGATCTTTGTTCATTTGTCTTTGTTCATATATAGGAAAAAATTTTAGAAATGCGATTGCTGGATTAAAAGGTGTGTGCATTTTGAATTTAATAGCTGGACTTGGCATTGCTAACAATCACGCTAGATGATTCCCTCCAGGTGGTTCTGTGACCACAATTGGAGAAAAACTGTTCCAGGGGAAAGAACCAAATGGATAATCATCAGTTGCATTTTAGGAGTTTTCCCCTTAAGGCAAAGAAAATAGAGATTTTATACAAAAACTCACTGACCATCTTTAAAGAGGACAAATTTATTTACTTGTATGTAAATAAAAATTACTTGGATATGTGAGGGGAAAACTATAAAGCACATAATATAAATATACAATTAACCCTTTATAATATTTTCAAAAAACTGTAAATAACAACATTTTAAACAGGAAACATTAATATATTTGCTGTAATTCCTTATAGCATTCTCTTTTATTCTGTTGTCAACATGAATATTGCAAGCAGGTTTTAGTCTATTTTCGTAAAAGGGGAATTTCTAATTTGGTAGAAATCATCACTTCCATAAACAGAGTAAGTCAGCAAACAATGGTACAAACCGAACATGAGCAGGTCTAACTTGAGTATTACTAAACCTGGGTCATTGGATAAAAAGTTCATATTTATGACGCACAACCAGCAGCACGAGCATCAAAACGCATCGGCATTAGCACCATTCAAAATATTTAACACCGCCTCTCGTTAATTTGGTGTTGTCAGAAAACGAGAGTAATGCAGTAATGTAGTCAGTTTCAAAACACACAACATGTTTTTCAATCTAATCATCTCAATTTTATGGTAAATAGAGAGAGAAAGACAGAGCATCACCTTGGCTTTTAAGATTTCCTTTATCAAAACAGAGAGCTGGATTCTTTAACAGCAGCCAAAGCTGTGATGATAACAAACAAGTCGTTGTGTTGAACCAAATGGAGTATGACATGCAATTTATTATCTATAATAATTTACAGGCAATTCTCAAATCATTGGAGGTAATACCAAGGGTGTATATTAGCAATGCTTTTGTTTCTCCTTTCCATTAGCTGCCTTTTATTATTATTGTTATCTTGGTGGTCCCTTTCATTACACAACCCCTCCCACTAGACATTACAGCAGGAAATAATGGAGATGAAACAGAAAGGAAACTTGTCCACGTAATATCTTGTTAACAGCTCTGAAGAGTTTGGTGGAGTAACACTGACACTGCTGGCTAAAATCAGGCTTGGGGTAACATTCTGTGATTCCAATTACTAGTATCATTCCTGCCTCTAATTACCAAGGATAATTGAGAATGGTCTGTACTCACTTTAAATAAATTTGACCCAAGACACTGGCAACGATGTTAAAGGAGTTTTTTGTGTGTGATGAGCAAATTGTGAGCAGAAATTTAAATAGTTCAAAAATATGTGTAAACAAGTAAGGCAGCCAGAAATTTCAAAATGATTCTGGGAAGAACATTCTGCAGTCTGAAAAATGTTTGGCTTAGAAAAATAGAGATCTCAGATAAAGGAAGAGCATTATTTGACGTCATGAATCACAGTTATCTTCTGGATGAAATCAATCAAGAGAACTATTTTTAAACTGTGCTGAGCTCAGGCAAATGAATTATCTATATAACAACAGCAGGCATTGGAGAAGGGCTATTTGTTACCCCTACTCCAATGTTAGGTGCAGACATCTAGACCAAGGGCATTCTGTTTATTACCCTCACAACTTGATAGTCTTATATTTTGGATTAGTAACACGCTTTACAAATGATTTATCCACCGACTTTATATGTCAACCAGCAGTTAGCTGTCTATTTTATTTTCTGGGCAGGAGAAACTCAGAAAAAAAATTTTATAGGCCCCAGATCATGCTCATAAACTAAGAGGCCAATGATATGAATAAAAGTGCTTGAATCATAGCCCTTGACTCAATGGTTGTGTGCACAAATATGACTTTCGATAAGGAAATCACTAATATTATGTATTTATTAAGGTTTTATCTCAAGATTCAGTTTATAACGGGATAATATTGAATTAGGACTGATGGCAAATGTTTTTCTTAGAGGAAGATTTAGAAATTGTACTCCCTCGCTGCAGAATTCTTGCATAAAAATATAAACTGCGTTTCTTTAATTGTACTAAATGTATTAGCATTGAAATCAGAGCCTGCCTTTCTTTTACAATGGTAGGTCAATAGCTCCCTGTAACAATTAACTTCTGAAATCTAGTCGTATTCTTGTGCTTAAAACCCATTTATCGTAAGCTTTCCGCAAGCATTCAGATACTTGATTTTCGCCTTACAAAGAAGTAGCTGGGTTGAAAAGCTTTTATTCCTTGTCTGCTTTAAAAGCTGAAACCGTAGTCCCAGTGGATGACACAAGACAATAGTTTTTATAAGGGCATTTCTACTAATTATTTAATAGGCTGTCTTTGAAGGACAGTGTCGTCTCTAAAACGTATGTAGTTCTTAATACCTTCCAGCATTGCTTCTCCCCAAACAGAAAGGCGGTGCTGCTTTCAGATGAGGCAATGACAATGGCATTTACAAGTGGCAATGCCAGTTACTGTACAGAACTCTTTTTCACGATACGTCATAGGTCCTCACAGCAGCCACGTGAGGTAGGCAGGAGTACCACAAGGAAACCTTACGGGAAACATAACATGACACTACACGTGTGCACCGTCCATGTATTTTTTTCTGGATTGCTCTATAATTCGGACACACGGTTGAACGAGTAAAAAGAGTATTCCCACCGTGTAAAGTAAACCACATATGTAGAAGGAAAAATCATATTTTTCAGTGATGTCGTAGATCCACCCTACAAAACAAAAAAGAATATATTCAGTGTAACATAGTTGATAAAAGTCAAGAACACAAAGCAGGCATTTATTGCTACTATGAATATTTCTATAAGAATTTGTTTATATGCCATTTAATGCCCAAAACATTTCATTTAGCTTTAAGTCCAGGCTATGTAAGCTAGAGTTCTTGGGCCTGGGTATGGCTGCATTTATCTTTTAAGCCACTGGGGTACTTTTTAAGGCACTGGAACAGTAGCTGGCTGATCCATGGGAGTAATCTTCTGGTTTTCAGCCCTCGGGGGTAACTCTCAAGTTGGCACAAAGCCAGCAGTGGAAAGTGAATCTAATGATTTTCTTTTTTCACAAATATAAACAGAAATCTTTTCTAAAACCTTCAAAACTCTTCTGAAGAAGTTTCTAGTGTATATTAAAAGGCTGAGCAGAAGACATTTGAACTTTCATTCATTCTGAAGTATTTGAGGGTAAGCATTTGTTCTAGAAGGAATCAAATTTTCGAGGTTTTATAAAATCCACATTTACAGCTATAAAATTTTAATATTTATATTTATAAATCTTTAAATTGCCAAAGATATAGGCTTAAAAGCTGACTAAATTATCAGTTCTTTTCAAATACTTTAATATTATAATCTAATAATTTCATATAATAATGTTACTAGGTACTTCTATAGAAATACTACTATATTTCATGGATTCTAAGATACCATAAATTATATCATGCATCATTATCTTAATGTATCAATAAGAAAGAAATATCCTTGTCAATTAAAATATGACTCAATGTTTTCTTAGGACTTTATAAAATGCATTCCAATTTCAGAGATGTTAAAATGTGAAAAAAGTCTCAGAAATTATGAAATACGAAGTTTCTTTTACTACAGTGATTAATTCTAAGAGTCAGTCACATAGCACGGTCCCCGTACAGCCAACTATGTGAACTGAGAGCATTAAGCCATTCACAAGAATTTTATTTATAGTAAAAATGTAAAATTTGAACATTTACTTTTTCCATATCAACAGCTGCATTAACTAGCAAAGACATAAGAAAAATATAAATGACTTAATGACCAAACAGAGTATTCCATGGCCACTTTTCAAAAATATCTTTAAAAACTATCTAACTGGCAAATGAATGCATAAGTGCAACTTAACCTTCTCCCATCAACAAACAGCAACACAAAGGCAACTGCTAAGTGTGTAAACCGGTACCTCTGACTTTCTGGTAGTTATCGATATCTCTCGGTTTATCGTATCTAGAGCACCAGTCAAGGAGTCATAAAGAAAGATGAACACTTAATAGCATTAAAATTAAAAATTTTTTTAACCACTCAAAAGCTATGAATTCTGAATATACTTTAAAAGTTAACCAAGTTTTTGAGTTTGTTATTTGATATAAAAAATAAGAAAATATCAGACTCTTTAGATGTGGCCTAGTAAAATGCTCTATAATCTTTTCTTAATCTCCAGTTTGATACAAGAGAGACTTGTCTCGAATAAGATTAAACATATAATCCAAAAACAATGATTCAGCTTCAGAGTTGAATCAGAGAGACACATTGACATTGACATATGAACCGAAACGCATCCAACTTCCCCTCAATGTCACTATTTGTCAACTGTGGACCAAATGTGAATTACGAGGAAGTGAATGATTCACTCCCAGATAATGCAGAGTGGTCTGTATCTATAAGCAGAGTATGTGAGGGGACTATCTGTAAGCTACAATTAAAAAAAAATCAATGAATATAAATGAGGTTCTCATACTCCACTCATCCCATATGAAAGCTGACCTTGTCACTTTAATAGTTAAATCCTCATTTTTCATATGATCAAGTAGCAATGATGGCTCTAAATAACAAACACCCATAGCTGAAACAAATTGAACTACCATCGCTGCTGAACACGGACCACAGAAATAGGACCAAATCCTAACTGATTGGAAAATTAAGTTGTATTTAGTTCAGACTATTCACTTTTTTGTGTGAAGTGGCTGAGTATAAGCTCCAGGGCTCTGATGTGGCCCCTTCCCACCTCTCTCCCCTGCTGCCCTGAGCTTAGCCATGAGCACAGCCACAGTGAAGTTTTTGGAGTTGCAAACACATTTCTCTTGGCTCCTTGATGGTACAGGTACTAGTCCCCCTTCTGGGGGGATAGTAATTAATAAACACTATCACCCTTAGAACACCCTAGCACCTCCTTCCTCCACTCCATCCTCCCTCTTGTCTCTGCAGACTACAGACGGTCCCCAACTTACAATGGTTTGATTTATGATTTTTTGACTTTACAATGGTGTGAAAGTGATATGCATTCAGGAGAAACTGTACTTCTAATTGTGAATTTTGATCTTTTCCTGGGTTAGCAATATGTGGCATGATCCTCTCTTATGATGCTGGGCAGTGGTAGTGAGCTGCAGCTCCCAGTCGGCCCCACGATCATGAGGGTAAATAACTGATACACTCACAACCATGCCATACCCATCCAACCACTCTGTTTTTCACTTTCAGTACAGTATTCAGTAAATTACATGAGATAGTCAACACTTTATTATAAAATAGGTTCTGTGTTGGATGATTTTGCCCAACTGTAGGCTAATGTAAGGGTTCTGAGCAAGTTTAAGGTAGGCTAGGCTAAGCTATGATGTTCAGTAGGTTAGGTGTACTAAATGCATTTTTTAAATTATTTATTTATTTATTTTTGTGAGGAAGATTAGTCTTGAGCTAACATCTGTTGCCAATCCTCCTCTTTCTGCTGAGGAAGATTGGCCCTGAGCTAACATCTGTGCCCATCTTTCTCTACTTTATATGTGAGACGCCACCACAGCATGGCTTGATAAACGGTGTCTAGGTCTGCGCCTGGGATCTGAACCTGTGAACCCTAGGCCGCTGAAGCCGAGCATGCGAACTTAACCACTATGCCACCTGGCCGGCCCTCTAAATGCATTTTTGACTTACGATATTTTCAACTTACAATGGCTTTATCAGGACCAAACCCCACTGTAAGTCGAGGAAGATCTGTATAGAAAATGTCTGCTAAGTATATTACATATTGTTACAATCTTAAATTGGGTTAATTATATTTTAAAATCTTGCATCTTTCTCCTAAAAGTATAAATGTTTATAAAAGCATCTCCACACACCCCAATCTTTAAAAGTAACTCCTATGTCATTTTTTTAAAAAGCACACCCAACTTCGCCAAAGAATTTAACAGTACAAATTGGAGAAGTAGTCCTAAATTTTGTTAAATTAATTCTATAGGTTTCTCCAATCTACCTTTAGAGTTTATTTTTAAATGATTCTGGATCCTGCCATCTCTCTTTGGCACCTGTTTTAATATTTCCACTAGTTTGAACTCAACCCAGTCCTGCGTCAGATGCAAAGCGGGTCAGGAGAGACGGGACTTGACCACATGCTTTCATGCTCAGCATGTGTGGACACAACTCGTCAGAGAAAAGACGTTTCCAACAAGCTGCCCACCTCATTCATCCTTCACCACCTCTCCCTACAGGTCTGAGCTCAGTTCCTTGGTTTGGAGCCCAGGATCCTTGGCAACCCGGATCCAACCATCAACTCAAATCAACAGCTTCCAAGTAAAATCCAGTTCTCTATTAAATTGCATTCCCTTTTCATTTGAATCTGTCAAATGCGGAGTGAGAGCTGTTTTTCTTATTTATTAAGTAAGTGTTCCCAGCTCTTGGTGAAAAACATTGCAAATTGTTGTTAAGGTGTTATATTTTATGCAAATGGAGGAGATATGTGTAGATTCTTGGTCAGTCAAATCTGGTGGCTGAGTTTTGCTATATTTTACACTGGAAACATCTAGAAAAGTATCTACTATTATTACATCTTTAAAGGAGATGAATCAAATGCCTGGCCATATTATAAATAAATGAGATCAAGAAGTTCATGTTGCTAACCAACATGGTTGAAATGTCTGTTCAATGGCTTTTATTGTACATTCTTCTAAATGGAAATGTGTAATTGTCTAACTTGCTACTAAATTGTACCAGATTTTATAATGTCAGTAGAAATTGCTTTGAAAAATGGAAAACACGTTCATTTCTAAACCCGTTAAAAAAGAAAAAGGTAATGTGAACAGTAATTTTCCTTGTAGCAAACCCAGCTAAGTAATCATTTCTAGCCCACCTCGAATTTCTAGCAAGAATTTAATGTGGTTTTTTAGTCACGCATATTGCAGTCACTTCTGAACTATGATACAGAAAGGCTGGGCTTGCATTTCACTGCAGTGTTGGCTCCTTGGCCCCGGAATGTCAATGAATGAAACACAATGCAGTTAGCCAATGATGTTGTTCAGCATTCTTTAGCTCCTGAGTTCAGTGGAAGGAGAAGAAACAAACAAAATAAGGAAACACCATTTGTCCAAAGAACGTATACTCACGGTCACAACAGGCACATGAAAAGATGTTCAACAACATTATTAATTATTAGGGAAATGCAAATCAAAACAATGAGCTATCACCTCACATCCATTGGAATGGCTATTATTAAAAAGACAAGAAATAACAAGTATTGGAGAGGATGTGGAGAAAAGGGAACTCTCATACACTGGTGGGAGTGCAAACTGGTGCAGCCACTATAGAAAACAGTATGGAGATTTGTCAAAAAATTAAGAATAGAAATACCATATGATCCAGCTTTTCCACTTCTAGGTACTTTCCAAAGAACATGAAAACACTAATTCAAAAAGATATGTTCACTCTATGTTCATTGCAGCATTATTCACAATAGCCAACACTTGGAAGCAACCCAAGTGCCCATCAACAGATGAATGGATAAAGAAGATGTGGTATATATACACAATGGAATACTACTCAGCCATAAAAAAGACAAAATTGTGCCATTTGTGACAACATGGATGGACCTTGAGGTTATTATGCTAAGCATCATAAATCAGACAGAGAAAGACAATCACCATATGATTTCACTCATATGTGGAAGATAAACAAACATATAGATAAGGAAAACAGATTGGTGGTTACCAGAGGGGAAGGGGGTAGGGGGAGGGTGAAAGGGGTAAAGGGGCACATATGTGTGGTGACAGATAAACACTAGACTATTAGTGGTGAACAAAATGCAGTCTATACAGAAGCTGATAAATAATAATGTACACCTGAAATTTACAATATGACCTCAATAAAATAATTAAAAAAAAAAAAAAAAAAGGCTCCTTTAGGTTGCTGGCCTAGAGATGCACATCAGAACACTGATTTTAAAGTCCCCATAGCAGCATTTGACACACATTCATAGAAGGTTCTTAGCCATTAATACAATGGGTTCTACCATCTATGGTGGCCCATATTCAGCTACAGAATCCACTTCTAGGGAGGAACCTTGAAGCACGCAGAGATAAGACCTGAGGACTGAGATCTGGGTATAACCCCCTATGTTCCAGTTGTAATTCCTTTCTCTTTCACTCAAGAAAGTGCACTAGAATGCAAATAAGGGAGAAGGACATGACCACAGGAATGGGATAAGGAAACCACGTGGGTAAATGTTGGTGCTTTAATTAACATTGATCATGAATTACTTATGCCACACTTCACAGCTATGTTGTGACGCTGCTATTGAAATCTGATGGATCAGTATAAAAATAACCCCAGACTGACCATTAGAAGCAGAAAGTACTCCTGGATCATGCAAAGAACCATCAATGACAGATTCCATTTCCATACATACAATATATCTGAAGGACCTCCAACAAGAGGGTAGATGAGCCACTGATAATGTTCCCATCCCCTTAATGGATATTTCAGTTTGACATCTCTGGAAGGTACCATTGGTTGACTGATCCAACCCCCAATCCTGATTCTTTTCTCCTCTCCTTCTTCTAGTACAGAGGCTGGAAAGCAAAATACTCCAATTCGCAGTTCCCCTTGAAGCTCGGACTAGCTGTGTGACACAGTTCTGGCCAATCAGACATAAGTGGAAGTCTGCTGGGACTGAGCCTTTCCTCTCTTCCTCCTCCTTGTTATAAATGAGGATGTAGTGGCTGGAGCTACTGTAGCCATTGTGTGATCATGAGGCAACTGGTATGAGGAAAAGGCCAAGAGGATCTCGAACACATCATCCCAATATCATCCAGCTCCTGAACTCTAGATTTCTGGTTATGTGACACAATTAAATCTCTGTTGAAGCTACCATGGGCGGGGTGTTCTCTTATAGCCACATGCATCCCCAACTGATAGAGAATTCTATACAATGAGATCACTGAGCAAGTTCAGATGGTTCGGCTGCCAGTATAGTTTGCTGCACTGCTATAGTTATTCACTGTCACCTAGAAATACTGTGCCTGAACTCTGTGCACGGGCAGAGAACGGGAGCAGCTTGACCCAGGAGGTGCCCCATATATAGAACCTAAAGTGATTCTTGGCCTTAAACTTTTAGTCAGCCAGCCGCCAGGGTTGTCAGCTGTATAGGCAAAATCCACGATTTCTTGAACTTCAAATTCTGAGGAGGACTTAATAATGGGTATGTTGACATAAGCCCTCTGCCAGCAGGGTCCTAGGACAGGAGGTGACTGTAGGATCCCTACAGAGACTGGGAAGGAAGGGGCAGGGAAGGCTTTGTCCTGCATCCATGGGGAAGAGGTATTCTTACAGAGGATATGAGAATAAAGGGCTGGGAGGGGCCAGAGTAGCAGGGGGTGGGGGCATCTGAACCAGTGAGGCTCTATTGTTTAGCCCAGGTTAGCTTAAAACACTGCACAAATCCGCTGGCAGCTTTGACAATCGCCACCCGCTGTGGCCTGGCCGCCCTGGCAGCCCCCTAGAGAGCACCTTTGTGTTGACTTTGGGCCTCTGTCCCTGCAATGCTGTGTGGGCTCCTGCCTCCAATCTTTGGACAGAGGGAAGACCTGTCATTTTTAAAATGCCTAGTACCTGGCCTCTTGGGGACTGAGTCTACCTGCTCAACCCTTGTGTGTCTTTTCACAAATGACAGGTTTAGAGAGGTACCCAGCCTAACACAGGCCTCCTCGGTGCCTATGACTTCTGGTATGCCCTTTGCAAGAAGCAAATTCTCCGTTGAACTGAGGTGAATACGTGAGAGAGATCTTACCCTAGATGGTGCCAACTGGTGGCTGCTGGGCAGAATGCCTCAGCTCTCCCCAAATGCCCACGTCCTAATCCTGGAACCTGTGCATGTCACCTTATGTGGCAAAAGGGCCTTTGCAGATATGATTAAGAACCTTGTGATGGGGGATTATCCTAGATTATCTGGTAGACCCAGTAATCACAGGCGTCTTTATAAGTGAAAGAAGGCAGGAGAGTCAGAATCAGACAGAGATGAGACGATGCTACACCTCTGGCTTTCAAGACGGAGGAAGGGCCAGGAGCCTAAAACACAGGCAGCCTCCAGAAGCTGTAAAAGGTAAGGGAATGGATTCGTCCCTAGAGCTTCCAGAAGGAGCACGGTTCTGCCAACACCTTGATTTTAGCCACTGTGATCCAGTTTAGCCCTCTGACCTCTAGAACTGTAAAATAGTAAATCTGTATGGTTTTAAGCCACTAAGTTTGTGGCAATTGATCACAGCAGCAACAGGAGACTACAGGGCTAGGTCCAGCCCACAGATGTGTTGTTGGACTTACACAGCATTGGAAATGTCGCCTAAGAGCCCAAAGTCTTAGTTTCTCTTGGGGAAAAAAAAATCCTAACAATAGAAGATCTGGCAACCATTCTCCATATTTCTTGGTGATGGAACTCAGTTGGAGCTAGGCAGAGGCCGCCTCCTTCAGACCAGGCAGGGGCTCTGTGCCGTTCCATAGTCCGCTTGACTGGCCGCTTATCTTGCAGATGAAGATCAAAAGGTCATCTACATTCTCCATGAAAGAATGACCTTTAACCTGCTAAAATTTATAAATGAGAAATCGGGGAGCAGGAATGGGAAGGAAAAGGAGCACGTACACAAATGGAAACTTCTTTCTTATTTATCTCGGACTTCATCACATAAATGAGAACATAACCTAACAACCTACATGCGCTGTAAGCTCTTAAAGCCTTGCACCGTTTACCTGCAAAAGGTGGTCCCAGCAACGCGGAGACGCCGTTAGCACAGATGATGATGCCATAGGCGTTGGCCAGGTGTTCGATGCCCACCAAGTCTTCAGTCACCACAGGCATCAGGGAGAAATAACCGCTAGAGAACCCTATCAGGGCGCAGATGACCGCCAGGCCAGCATACGTGTGCATCAGTGGCAGAATAAAGATACTGAGGACCAGGGTGAAGTTGGCCATCAGGAAGACGTTCCAAACGCTGATGCAAGGTAAGTCAGCCACAATGCCCAGGATCACTTTCCCGAAGATATGGACTATGGCTATAATGGAAGTCAGAGGGAAAACATCGTTTTGCTCCGATAAATTATACAAATTGACGATTTCTGGGAGGTGAATGAAAGGGATGACAAAGCTGCTGTATGCAAACAAAGCCCAGAAAATAAAGGCTACGAACATTCGATTAGTAAAGAGCGAGGCGGTCCCAAAATAGCCCGAGTACCAGTCCCGGAAGCCCCTCCTGACTCCCACGGTCAGCTGGCTCACCGTCTTCAGAACCCGAAGGGCGCACATGTTCTTTCTGTGCCCCGCCTCCTCCTGGCACGCCTGGGCTGCAAGGTCACTGAGGGTCTCCTCGTTCCCAGGCCCGTCCCCCTTCTCTTCTGCTCTGCCCAGGGGTCCACTTGACTTAACAGATTCGGTGGAGGGAGCCGGGAGGACTTGGGGATCTTTCCCTCCTGGGTGGTTTCCGTCTTTCCCGGCAGAGAGGGGCCTCATGAGCGCCCCACAAACACACAGGTTTAGGGAAACGGCGCCTTGGATGAACATTGCATTCCGCCACCCGTACTCCGCGCACAGGTACTTCAGCAAAACCGTCATGAGGAACGTGCCAAAGCCGGTCCCTGTGGTGCTCAGACCCTGGGCAAGGGCGCGCCTCTTCTGAAAGTACCTCCCCACCATGACCACGGCCGGCAGGTAAGCCATCCCGCTTCCAAAGCCTGCGCAGGAGAGAAGGGGAAGAAAAAGCACACAGCGCGATATAAATGGCCATATCCAGAAGCTGCAGCATTTAAAGATCACCCGCATTTCATTATATTAGTCTCTCTCTCTTTTTTTAAAGGAAGAAATAATAATGATGGTAAAAAAGAAGCTCTGTGGGTAAGCACCAAAAGGGTCATCCATGGAAGTTTCTGGTCCATCATTTCTCCCAACAGGCTTTGCAGCACAGGTGACTTCAATAATAAAATAAATCTGCATTCTCACATCACAATATAAGCTCCAGGAGGATAGGACTGTGTCTGTATTTTCACCCCTGGTATGCCGGCCCGCTACCGCCCAGAACACACAGCCTGTGCTCAGTGATTTGCTGACAGAGTGAATGGATTCTGAGGGCTCTGTTGTCAGTGCTAATTGCACTAAGTGCCCGGAAAAGTACGTACAAGGGGATGAAGAGCGACTCCAGACAATTTGCAGGAGCCTCAGGAAGGGGCCAATTTGTTCACAAATTAATTAGAAGAGTAAAAGGGATTATAATGTACCCATAAATATAGCAACTACTAGGTGTCAAAACCACATAACACTTATTTGTATCTCTGATTTTTAATTGTGTCTTAGAAAATTGGAACAGTTTGTGATTTACATACAACATTAAAATGCTGGTGAGGCAGATTGTGTGTGCTGGGGGTAGGGGGTTTGGGGAACTTTCTGCGCTTTCTGCTCAGTTTTGCTGTGAACCTAAAACTGCTCTAAAAAATTGAAGTCTATTCAAAAAATGAAATGAAATAAAATGTTGGCCGAAAGGTTGTGAGTTGTGTTCTCAACTTCTAGGTACAGACAGGGGAAACCATACGCCCCACTTCAGATGATCATGGGGCCCCATCTGGACCTCCTGACTTGAGGATGGCGGCATGACAGTATAAAAGAGACTTGACCAAGACTGATCCTCAAAGCTGAAGCCTCGCTAGTTCAGCATCATTGAATACATCAGAATTACTTGAATTTGGAAGGAGACCAGAGCAATCATACATGCAAATACAGTAGTGTTTACCACTGATTGAGTGCCGATTATGTGCCAGGTGCTTACAGCCTTTATCTGATTTAGTTTTCACAATAACCCCCAAAGCTATGCCCATTTTATAAAACGGGGTACTGAACATCATGGAGATTAAATTACTTTCCAAGACCCTGCAGCAGGTAATTGGAGAATCAAGATTGGAATTCAGACCCAACCGCGAGCCTGGTCCCTTTCCACTGCCCACGTTGCCTCTCACCCTAAACTGCTCATCTCCCCAGCTGCCAGCAGGTAGCCACAGAAGGATTTGATTCAGCCTGCGTTTCTAAAATGAGCCCCAAGAAGCAACCTGCCTCCTTTATTTACCTTAGAGCAGTGATATTTACAGCAACTGTCGGGAGCCAATGATCCCCAACTAGTCGCTCCTCAGGTGGAGACCCTTATTCTAAGAACAATTAAGCTGGCCTCTAAGTGACTCCCAGCAGAAACGGGAGCAGTTCCCCACGCCTCAGTGAGGGCGGCTGTGTTGCAATAATTTGCATTATGGGAGAAATGAGCATGAAGAAAATGGCTATCCTTAGTTTCGAACCAAACTCAGAATGAATTAGCCTTTATGACTGTTAAGTCTACAAAAGGCAGAAATCTCTCATTTCCTAATATTCAAAGGGACAGAGAAAAATAGTCAAGAGTCCATAAGCTAGGCCTACACTCTGACAAGTTGGTTGACTTTCAATTATCTGGAAGATCTGCATGCTGTTTGAGAAAATTAAAAGAATTCTGGAGATTTCTATGGCTAATATGAATTTTGGGGACCTTGTGTTTTATATAAGCTGGTTGTTCCCTCTGCTGGAACGTTCTTACCCTCAGACAGACCTAGGGTCCCGGCCCCCATCTGCTGCTCATTTCTCACCTTCTCAACCAAACCCACCTTGCCCACCCTCTTTTAAAATGCAACCCTCCTTCTGCCCACCACTCCTATTCCCAGCCCTCTTAATCTGGTCTACTTTTCTGTTTTCCTATAACATGTACTTAACCGTGTAATTTACTTATTTATTGTGTGTTGTGTTTATGGTCTGACCCCTTCTCCCCTTTGCTGCACTATGAGCTCCATGAGGTCTGGGGTCATCTTCTGTTTGGTTCACTGATGGATCTCTTCCAGTGCCTAGAACAGTGCCTGGCACATAACAAAGGAATGAAATGAATGAAAGAAAGTTCTAGGGGAAGATAAAATGGCCATATTTTGAAATAATAGCAACCTTTTTCATACAACATTAACTTTACACTTCTAAGGTTAAGGCACAAAAAATTCAGCTGCAAAGTAAGTGCATTGATGGCTACTTTGAAAAAATAATTATTTATTAAGGAACTAAGAAATTCCTTGATCTTAAATATTGTGGCACAGTATTCTCGCCCTTATGATGGTACGGGGGTGGGGGCAGGGCAGGATGTATAGTAGAAAGAACCCAGCTCTGGCTGTGCTCCCCAGAAGCACCATGTGACCTTGATCAAGTCAGTTAAACACGCAGAGGCTCAGCTCCTTGGTAAAGCAAAGACAACACCACCAGCTGTGTTGTGTTGTCCTGCTATAGACATAAATGTAATACACCTGTGTCGTTGCATGCTGTTAATTAATGTTACCTTCTTACCTATTATAACAGGCCATTGGCTAATGAAACAGTTTAAATCAGATGCAAGGTAAGCTTTTAAAAAACAGAATGGTTTAGTAAACCTTCATATACTCATCACTCAGCTTCAACAATTATCAACTCCTGGCAATTCTTGTCTCAACGCCCTCGCTGCCCCAAAACATACACTCCCTTCTCCACGGTACACTCCCCACCCCCACAGGCCCTCCTCCGTATTATTTTGAAGCAAATCCAGAATATATCATTTCATGTGCAAATATTTTACTATAAATCTCTAAATAGAAGAATTCTTCAAACAGCATAATCATCATCTCATTGTCTTATTTGAAAAAATGAACAATTCCTTGATATGAAATATCCAAAAGGTGTTCAAATTTCCAATTGTCTCATAAATGACTGTATTTTTTAAAAACTTGTTTAAATCAGGATCCAAGTAAGGCCCACACATTGCTATTTGTTGATATATATTTTAAGTCTCTTAATTTTTCTCTTTTTGTCTTTTCCTCGCAATTTGTTTGTTGAGGAAACTAGATCATTTGTCCTGTGCAATTTGTCATAGTCTGGATTTTGCTGATGGCAAAAATTAAGCGTAATTTTTAAAAAATCTGATTTGTCACTGACAATAACCAATATCCTAAATTTAATGTGGTTATGGATTTCTAAACAGCAGCAGAATAAGATGACTAATAGGAACAGAACTGAGGGACATACGCATAAGAGTAGCGTGAATTCTCACTTAGTTTGAATAATAGATGCTTCCTTGTGTGAGAAAAAGGAAAACCTCGTGCCCAATGCTAAAAGCATCTATTTCCCTGTTACACTATCCAGGCCTTTACAACATTCCCCCTTCCTAATGTGACCTTGTTATCCATAATCAGCACAATTATTTCATGAGCTTATAAGACAGGCCTGGGGATATTCAGGCTCAAGCCCAGCGGTCAGGCAAGACCCTGCTAATATCCAGCCCTGTGCAGGGCCCTGCAACAATTCTTCACCACACTCAGGATTAGAGGAGGAGTTTACAGCCCGACAGGCTGGGTGGAGAAAGGAGGCCCATATGGGGAGAGAGAATCCTGTGGTCCTGGGTCAGTGTGGATGGGGGAAAAGGTGTCTTCAGAAGCCAGGTTTAAGTGGGGCTCTGGCAAAGCTGAAGAAATTTGTCCAGACTCCCTCGGCTAAGTAAGATTGCTCAAACAGACATGAATTTTCTGCTTAATAGGAGGACACTCCTATGCAATTTTAATTGCCTAGGTGTTAAAAAAAAAAGATATAAACAAATTTGCCTCAAATGTTTTTTGGAATGAAGGTATAGAAATTAATAAAAGGAACCTTAACTAAATTGGAGTCAGGAAGGACTGTAGGGGGAGCTCTCACAAGAGAGGGAGGGCAGGAGGTAAAAGTACTTTACTACTGAAGGAAGATTTCTGTCCTCACCCGGCAACAGCCCAGCCAATGAGAAATGCTGCAGCTCAGCCAATGAGAAGCTGTTGCAGCCCTGAGATGTTACTTTCACCCAAAGGACTTTCTGTTTAGAACAGCCTCTCCCTACTCCCCCTTTTTCTCCGTGAAAGCAGCTTTGCTCCTTTCTTTTCTGGCTTTGCCTATGGTTTGCCATAGCATGTGCATCCTGACTTGCAGTTCTTTTGGCTATTCCTGAATACATTCATTTTGAGATAAAATAACAAGCAAGTTTGCTTTTTAAGTTGACAAAGGATATCAACAGAGTTTCTTTCAAACATAAATAGTATCTCGATCACTTGCTTTTTGCCGATCTTTACATCTAACGTTTTCTTTTCTATTAACCAGGGGCTAGATTGCCAATCAGCTTCAACACGCCTCAGTAATGACAGCCCAACAGCACTTTACATAGATAAGCTAACTGATTTAGCTGGAGTTTCCACTTAAATATAGTTATATATATATTTGTGGGGGAGGTGGATAAATTTATTTTCAGAGACTTTCTTTGGGTTTTTCCTGTATAAAAAGTGGGAGTGATAAAGTGTCTCAAGAAACACTTTCCTTTCACCAGCCTCCTGAGTTCCCGCCTACTTCCTTGGATCCATAAATATTTGTTGAAGAAATAAGTGAATGAATGAATAAATGAATAAATATGGAGTAATATAATTTGAGGATCAATAGGCAATTAACTGCAAAAATAAAATTCCATTTATTTATTTATTTATTCATTCTTGTGAGGAAGATCAGCCCTGTGCTAACATCTGCCAATCCTCCTCTTTTTTTTGCTGAGGAAGACCGGCCCTGGGCTAACATCTGTGCCTCATCTTCCTCCACTTTATATGGGATGCCGCCACAGCATGGCTTGCCAAGCGGTGCATCCGTGCGCACCCAGGATCCGAACCAGCGAACCCCGGGCCACCACAGTGGAACGCGTGCACTTAACCACTTGTGCCACTGGGCTGGCCCCCTAAAATTCCATTTAAACAAAGAATCTAACCACAGAAATCTCTAAATGATGAGAATAAATCTCAAGTCCTGGTTTTTAGGATCAAGTCACAGTCCATATAACCAAACACCACCAGAACAAGTTCATAGAGGGTCCCACGTGTCTGCCCAGAGACCCAGTGTGGCTCCTTAGTCTCGGCAGAAGGAATGTTTATTTCCTCACCTATAGTACAAAAATCCCTGTGCTAGCTCTATTCATTGAATTATCACAGGGAAAAGTTTCTAAAACACTCAGGGAAAACATCTTAAGTTGTTCAAGACTGTTGGAAGGTCCTTCAGACCAATGGTTTTCAAACTATGCTTTAAAGGATACAGAAGTGCTTTAGGTGTATACGTGAATAGATGTACATTCCAGAGAACCAGTTTGTCCACTTATATGGACAGTAGGTTTTTGTGTTCACTGTCTCCTGCTATCATAAAGCATATTCTTAAGCTCCTAATGTAATAACAATGTTATGTTACATATATAAGAACAATCATAGATTAGCTGACACTTATTGAGCACTTTATTAGGTGCCAAGCACTGTACTAAGTGCTTTATATAGATTATCTCATCTCATCATTTGAACAACCCTGTAAACTAAGCACTAAATTATCCCATTTTGCAGATAAGGAAACTGAGGCATAAGCAGGTTAAGTAATTTGCCCAAAGTCACACAGATAATAAGAAAAAAAAAAAGCAAGAATTCCAAACTCTAACTTTTAATTCTTATTCTAACACTGCTGTCAATGTGTCATTTACTGGGATTATAACTCTCAACTCAGAAAAGTCAGGCTGGATCTAGTTTATTGAAATACAATTGTACAAGTAAGAAACAACTTATCTGTGGGACTTCTGCTACCTGTTGATAAAGGAAATTATGGCTGGGAATATATCTTGCAGAACGGATATGCAAACCGCGCTGCCTGGCAGCCAATTTTAACCTGCTCTCTGGGGACCAACACTCTGTGTTCTAGATTTGCTTCTTAGAGTATCTCCATGTATGTGGGTTTTGCTGCTATTTCATTAATCTGAACAGATTACTCTGTGACTCATGCTCGAGTCTGCAGTTATTAAATGAGAGAATGTTATTAATTTCCTTACTGTTTGGTCTATTCACCCACGTCTGTATTATTACCTCCTTTTCCTGTTCCTCATAAGAGAAAGGACTAGCACTTAGAACCAGGTATGGAAAATTTAATTAAATTCTATTAGGGAGGCCAAGTACAGTTGCTAGGTTGTTTTCCCACGCTTAAGGCATATTTGATATCTTATATTAAAAAGTATTTCCTGGAGGATGGGATGGGGTTTGGGGTGGCGTGGAGGAGACAAAAGGACAAAATATTTTAGTGGGTCTCTTTTTTCCACAATTAAATGCATTGCCAAAATGCCCAACAAAAACATTTAAAATCAAGTTAAAAAAAAAATCAATATGCTTACCAGCTGTCACTCCGAAGGTAATAAAGAGATAATGCACGTTCGCAGCATAGGCGCTCAACACCCAGCCGAGCGAGTTCACCAGCCCTCCAACTATTGCGGTCCGGCGGCAGCCGCAGGTGTTAATGAACAAGCCGATAAAAGGCCCTGTCACAGAACGTAGAAAAAGGAATTGACTAATGGCATTTTATTTTCATCCTTTCTTAGGAAATCCTCATATGACGATAAAGAATAAAACATTACTAGGGCTGTTAAATAAAACAAACAAAAACTCCCCATTTTTATGCAAAAAGCCTTTAGCATGCAAAGATGGATTTCAACAATTTCACTGGAGAGCACAAGCTTATAGGTTTTCAAGGAAGGCAGACCTGAAATAAATAGATAAATAAATTGGTTCATTCTCTTGTCTACAATAGAAGTCCTAAACTCGTGGTCTAGGGTCTCCATGTGGCCTGAGGATGCATCTTCCTTATCTGAAAGTTTAGAAAATTGTTTTGAATCAGTTGCTAACATTTAAAAATTAAGAGAATTCACAAAAAAATCCAGTGGAAGCACAGAATACCTTCTCACACAGCCAAAATCGGCTGGAGCTGCACAGTGGCTGATCCCGTTTAGCTGCATCACACCATCGCTCTTTGCCGCAGTCTCCACTCTTCCCATTAGTCTTATATCTGGCCCCCTGCCCTCATTTACATTACTTGTTTGGCCTCTGTACACATTTGAGTTTTTGACTCCAGACCTAAAGGGAGTCTAGGAAGAGGGTTCTCAGGACTGTCATGCTTCAAAGGAATCTACAGCCTGTTTTCATGAGGTCACCCAGATGCAAAGCAAGTTGAAAAGAACTTGTCATTGCTTCATACACACTTCAGCCTCTGCTGACTCTCAGGCCATGACTGGACCCATCAGGCTCTGCACTTATGACACCTTGTGGAATACACTTGGTTGTGTGAGAGATGCCAGTACCCACAACAGTACAGTATTATATGATCCACATTCTGATTGCTTACTTTACTAGGACGCTCTAGTTTTTGTCAACTCTCTTTGTTTTCTTCTTGATTTGGAGGTAATTTCTGATGTCACCAAAGCTTAACGCTTGCCTCGTGACCAATGATTCCTTGTCCAAATAGCAATCCGGATTTTAGCCATACAGTATGAGGCTGTACTCAATATTCAGTAAGATGGCGCATCTTAAACATCATCTTATTTTTGATCATTATTACTTTACATAGTCATGAAACCCTGTATTCAGGTGGCACTATTTCAGGTTAAAAACTTGTTGAACTCTAAGGAGCTTCCCCTTTTAGCCCAAACTGAAATAACACTTTCCTGTAAAGTTCTAACTATATTCATGTGCAAATTTGGGTACATAATCTGCTAAGAGGTTTTTTTTTTTTTTCCCCCGGTCTAATGGTTTTGAGAAGGCCTAATCCTAAAAATTATGAAGGCAAAGACTTATTCATTTAATTAACCCTGTCGCATTACAGAAAATAATTCAGTAGATAAATCTCTTAGAACAGACCATATAGTAAATATATTTTATATAAATATACTGTGATTATATATTATAAAATAAGCACATTATAAAATAATATATAAACTAAGTGCATTGATATAAACATCTGAGGAAATTATTGGGGGCAGCTGAAATTCAGAAACCATAAATTGAAGATATTTCTTTGATTTCTTTACAAATATTTTTATTTCCTAAACGCTTCGTCACTTCACTACCCAAATCTCGGATGAATGGAAAAAAAGAGAAAAATGCACGGCTCATCAGTTTGCCGTTAACAGGCCTTTAAAGATATGAAAGGTCAACAGATCACAGTTCAGTAGCACGATCATATTTTCCACATTACAGAAGGGGCCCAGAAGCAAGTTTTTCTGCGATACTGCATGTTTGTGAAAAATTGCATTAAGAAAGCATTTGCAAGGGGTGAAGGGATGCATTTATATGGTGACTGACAAACAGTAATGTACAACAAAAATTTCACAATAAAAAAAAGAAAGCATTTGAGGAAAAAAGGGGGGAAATTCTCGTGTAAGTGCAGATACTCATGTCTGAAGGAACGTTATATATCAAAAAGAAAGTATTAATTGCTTTACTGATGAGAGCGTTCAGTTGATAACAGTGTCTGGGCTTTTAGCTCATCAACTCCTGGACCAGTCGTGCTGGAGCTTCAGCATTTATGATTCGCAGATGCGCAAAGTCAGCCTTGGAAATGCTGCGACTCCTCCATAGTTACAAAATATAAACATGTCAGAAAAAGGAAGTCAGACCCAGGCTGTCTGACTGTTTCACTTTCTAACCGTTGCTTACTGATGATCAGCTAGCATCTCCAAGATCGAATTGCCACTTCAACAAAATGAAAAGAACTCCCCACATGGTCTAAGGAGGGGGGAAAATAGGATCGAGATACAGTCCTTTGGCTGTGATGCCCACTTTTAGAGGAATTCAATGTTTTGGAATGAGACTACACACATCATCAGACTTTCTCCTCTTCAGAAGGAATCTGAACCTTGGCCCTTTTCCCACATAATAAAGTGTCACATTGGTGCAAGGAACACCCTGAGGAAGTCATAATTTCTTGCCCATTCCAGTATCTCATAGGTTGAGAAAAGGTCAGGGGAGGAGAGAAATAATCTGAGATGAGCCTTGGCATACAGTCATGAGTGAAAGTAGGTGGTTCACTGAACTGGTCTCTTGAGTAACGCCTCACTGTGATAAGGAGTTAGGAGCCTACAAATCAATGGCTCTCTGCCTTGGCTGAACATCGGAGTCACTTAGGAGCTTTAGGAAAAAAAGAAATCTTGATGCGTGGGTCCCATCCTGAGAGATTCTGATTTAATTGTCCAGGTGCAGCCCGAGCAGCAGGGTTTTGAAAAGCTCCGCAGTGGATCTGATGTGCAGCCAGGATTGACAACCACTGCTCTACAAGCAAGCAACCGTCTGCAGCCCATGGATTCCCCTAACAACATGGCTTCCACAAAGAGTTATTCCACGAGCCCTCGCAAAGGCTGCTGTAGCCACGAGTGAGGTGATTATATTTTGTTAAAAATTGGGGCCTCCTGCAGGGAACTGGCAAAATCCCTGTTGGCAAAGAATGAAATTACTGAATTTCCCATGTATAAATCACTACTTGAGAGATGACTTTCAACTCTGTAACATAGTTCATGGATTTTTTTTTTTAATTTAAAAGAGGTAGGGGCCGGCTCCGTGGCTTAGCGGTTAAGTGCGCGCGCTCTGATGCTGGTGGCTCGGGTTCGGATCCCGGGCGCGCCCCAAGGCACCACTTCTCCGTCCAACGCGAGGCCGAGTCCCACGTACAGCAACTAGAAGGATGTGAACCTATGACATACAACTATCTACTGGGGCTT